ATATATATATATATTATATATATACTATATATATATATATATACATTATATATATATAAATATATATATCTATATATATACAATAAACTTGTGTCCATATATCCTAAATAGCTTACTTAGGTCTATCCTCTTATCAAGGAACATGTCTGTGTAACATGTCTAACTTCCCCATGATGCTCACTTGATGATGGTAACAGATGGTGAAGGCTAAATCAGAAGCAACTCGAGGTGGCGTCATGGCGTCTGATTCTATTTTGGGAAAAAAAAAACACATTTTGATGATGTCACTAAAGTTACGGATGCTTTGTGAATAAGTTCGATCATTTTGGTCTTAAATTTTCAAAAACGATGGAAAATAATTATTTTAATGGTTATATTTCCATTGAACAATCATCAAGATAGCCCTGTGGGACGCCATGAATTCTCGAGTTGCTACTGATCTAGCCTTCTCGCCGCGTTCCTCGACAGTTGCACACGAAAGCAGAAGTGATGTCCGTTGACGTCACTGACAAATCAACAGCGAGAGCCTATTATTCTCGACCACTGACAGAACAGCTTTACACTTACTTCAGAATCAGAAGTTTCGAAGCCTCGAAAGGGATCGACTTCAAGCTAAATCCAGAAGAGCACTTTAAGGTTCACTTCCAGTCGGATTATCTTCAGCATACGCCCTTCTGCTACACCATCAAGGTTAGATGTCCTGACTGCGTTTCGCCTCATTATCACTAATATTTTGGCAATAACAATGATTAAGAAAGGATAAGAGTAAATTTCAGAGATTCTCTAATACAAACAAACCCCCCCTTTCTCTCTCTCTCTCTCTCTCTCTCTCTCTCTCTCTCTCTCTCTCTCTCTCTCTCTCTCTCTCTCTCTCTCTCTCTCTCTCTCTCTCTCTCACACACACACACACACACACACACACACACACACACACACACACACACACACACACACACACACACACACACACACACACACACACACACACACACACAGTGTGGGGGATGAGGGATCGTAAAAAAATCTCCATTATTACATAAATAAGTACTTTTACTATGCAAACTTGCATCCCTTAAGAAATGAACTGAGTATAATTCCTACTCTTTTTTTGTATCACCTTATCTATATTCCTATCAAACTTCCCCACCACATAGGTCGTAGTCCTCATGAAACCTTTCTTAACCCCACAACACAGGTCTTCAACCGCAACGGTGAAGTTTTCCGTCCCAAAGTGCGAATTTTCCTGGCTCCGAAATTTGACAGTGTCGGCCGGAGGGTGAACTACTACGCACTGCTTCATTACTGGCCGGAGGTGGATGTGTTCGAAGCAGATCCGAGTGAGTGGGAGTTGGGTATTATTATTGTTGTTGCTGAGTTTTAATTTTATTGTGGAATTCTTGTTTTTCTTATCAATTTTATATTGTTATTTATCTTATTATTCATGATTTGTTTATCAAAATAGTTTCAACAATTTAGTGCGCGAAGTTTAGATTAGGTTATTTAAGCTTGCAAATGAATAAAAAACGTGGATTGCAATATTGTCAATAATATGCATATTTAGTGAAATATTCATGATCAGAAAAATGGTAATGACATTCTATGCCGAGTAGTTATTCTTTTGTCATTAGTGATTCTAAATCTAACTTCATTTCAGTTCAACCTGGCCCGGTCGGTTACATTACAAGACTCCAGTGAGAGCAGCATCTTCAGCCTTGACACTCAAGATGTGTATTTCGCCCCGCAAAAGAACGAAATCTATGGCGGTATTTTCTTGTACAGTTTCGCATTATCGTTACGTATCAGCTGGGATGGTTGCGAGGGTGGGTGTCAAAATGTGATAAATGATGCAAATACAAACTCGCTCGGCCATTTGTCTGAGTGAGTGTTTGCGGGAGCATGGCACGACAGCCCCCGTTGTGCGCAATTTTCCTCAGCGAATTTTCTGTATATTCCACTCACAAGATGGAAATTTATGCCGACAGATTTGATCCACTGCACACCTATCCATTTGTGTGTAGTTTTGAAGACCACCAACGGGTAAACTTCCCTTTTCCTTTTAAGAATAAAAATGCACGGTAAAGCCGCTAGGTGAATAAACAAACTCGTTGCTGCAGTCAGACGTCTGCAACAACGCATTGATACGTATGATTGGACGGACGTCGTCGTCGCACAATATCTCATCCTCGTTATTTATCGTCCACCAATACGATATATCAACAGTATCCTAACACTCTCCCGTATCATGATTTCGTAATCCATCATGGCAGAAGACGGGGTTGCGATCAACCCTCTAGTGCGAGTGCGTAACGACATCCCTCTGATGTGACGCCGAAAAGCCGACAGAGGCCAATCGAGCCGTTTCGCAGCTTTGCATCACATTCCGAGATGCAACGATGTTCAGCCGTCCACTCTAATGATACATAAGCGGATACATACCTAAATCGCTGAATGGTATTAAAGTCACGCGTACTAACATCCATTCCTAGCCATTTTAAAGATTCCCTTCCCTTACAGCTGTAGACGGGAGAACGTCTGGCTGCAGCTGGCCAGAGAATCTCCAGCTGCCTCGGGGTAAGCCAGATGGCATGAATTTCCTTCTTTTCGTGATGGTGACTGATGCCTCGTTGGACACGGTGAGCTAACACTCTTAATGAAGAAATTGCCGATGATCCATAAGCAAGGATAATGTTTGTAATACTTTTTAAAAATGTGTAAAAAGACGTGCGCCCGCTTGCATCCAACCATCCATTGCCACACACACAGAATACAAGGAAAAGCAATCGAACAGTCTATGTTGTTGCCATTACTATTGTAGTTTTTTTTTTGTTTGTTTGTTTGTTTACGAACATTAGCATTATTATCACATTTAGTTTTGTATTTTCTTAATTTCTTCCTGATTTGCAGCCACTTAGCCAAATGCACGGCTGCACAGATCCAGGGAACTATTACTTGTCGCCCGGCTCGTGTATAGCTCCCCTCCTCTCAAGGACGTCCCCCATGCAGTTTCTGCGGCCTCCCCAGTGGCAAGTACCCCGACCAGTGGCCCATGGGATATCCTCTGGACAGGAAGAGTGGCCACGAGACGATCGAAGCCTTCGTGGACGAATACTCGAACATGAGACTACAGGTACTCGTCATTATGTTAGATAAGGACACAGGTACTCGAAGCCTTCGTGGACGAATACTCGAACATGAGACTACAGGTACTCGTCATTATGTTAGATAAGGACACAAGTCTCGTGAGGAAAAATGACATGGTTGAATGCCTTCGCTTTAGGTGTCGAGTCAGTCAGTCTGTCTATCTGTATAAATATCCTGAGTCCTTTCTAATGTTAAAAGAAAAAAAATATATTGGTAATTCCGTTATTGTTTTTAAAAAATCATACAAGTTCTCATACGGCACATCCATTCAAACATGGATCCGGGAAAAAAAAGAAAAATGCAACCCCTCAGATGCATAATCTGCGCATCTGAAGACAATGTTTTTGAATGGTGCGAAAAAGTATAGATTTTTTCTTTTTTGTCCTGCTAAAAGTACCCGGCAATCGATAGGCCGGCAGACGGCAAATTTTCGCTGGGTGCCGGCTACTTTTGAACACCCTGCACTATGGAAAACCACTTCTACCAAATACTGTTTACTTGTAACTGGAAAAATATTAAAATTTGGGCCAAAAAGAGGAAACCTGAACATCATGGGTGTAATGAAGCTCTTCCTCTAGCACAAGAACCATCTGAATAGCAGAATCTAGATTTGAAATATTTTATTGATCTCACTAAAAGGCTTGATGCAATGAAAAAACTCACACAATAAATATGAAGTCGAATTGAGACCTTAGTTGTGAAAGATTATGCCCAATTAAATGTTCGATCTACAAAACAACAGCAAGCTAAACATCATAGTAATACCAGTACAAATTAGTCTTATCTACTTCACGACCAAAGAAGGATACAAACAAAATATATCTCAATTACATCATTTTATCTTAGTTCTTCCATTTAAATACATATTCCTTTTTCTTGAAAACAAATGCTTCTTTATAAAATTTCATCACACACCTGATTAATTATTCTCAGTACTGCCTAAATATCTTTCATCAATTTTTTTTTTCAATATTAAAATTATATGTAAATCTCAATGACTCTTGAATATACAGAAAAAATGGAAGTAAAAATATGAATATACCGTCTATATGTGTAAACACTATATCACAGTTTCTCCTCTGCTTGTCAGCATCAATGACTGCTTTTTACCGTTTATCATTCCCTGTCTTGATTGTTTTTGATGGCCTTTTTACAGCTTTTGTTTGTGTTTGTTTTGTTTCTAAATACCTCCAAGATTCTTTATCAATGTCCTTTATTATGTACCTGGACAATTTTATCAGGGTATTTTTGAAGCTGCCTTACTTTCTCATATATAACCAATCATATGTTTGCATTTCCTTATGACTGTCTGTCTGCCTACCTCCAAGTGTAATTTTTTTCTAAATACATCTTGTTACTAGATCTTTATACAACAAGGGTAAAAAAAGGTCATTATACAGAAATTATTCTTCATATACAATGTAACATTTTTAATCTAAAATCTATATTCATAAAAGAAAATAATATATTACACAAAAACTTACCGTTTCTTACAAGTATATAAGGAACATCATAACACATGCACATAAGAGCACCAATAAGATTGTTTTATCCAATGCCACATAGAACATGTGGTGTCCACTGTAGTTTTTGTTTTGTGAATTATGTTAAGGAACTAATCAGATTTTCCTTTTTTTGAGTTTTCAGAAAAAATCCCTAATGCTGTTATCATAATTGTTGACATCATATTATATCAATATAAAATAAAAAAGAATATTTCTGAAAATCAACAAAAAGGGTAAATAGCTGATATCAATAGTAACAGTGATTGACTCTAGGTGAGTAAGCACTTGAGGAACTATCTTTGTGTGAACACAATTAATAAACTAAACTCACAGTGGATACTTCATGTATGTACA